GAGATTTTTCGCTATAGGGCGCGTGCGCTCGCCAGACAGACAGAGACAGAGAGACAGAAAGCGAGAAATCACCCCCAAGAGGGGATGGTCACGCCACAATCCCTTCTCCTCCATTCTCCTCTCGGGATCTTGGGCATGCACGCACACGCGCCCGGCGTGAGTTCTAAGCCACCGGGTCCGGGACGTGAACCGTGGTCCACTATGTGGGAGTCCAGAGACATAGACGTTACGCTAACTGCTGGTTCCCTAAATTCAGTATTTTAATGAAGCTAAAAAAAAATAAAATAAAGGTGTCGTGTTTTTCGAGCTCCTACCAAAGAACAATCAGTTTGAATATGTACTGTTGACATTGGAGAGTTTGAATGAATTCATCATCCAAAAATGTCTAGAGCTTGTTAATTGTAAAGGAGTTGTGTTCTATCATGACAGATGAGACCACACATCTTGCATCAGACTTCCACTTGTTTCCCTCTCTTTGAAACTCCTTATGTGGATATTCAGTTCAGATGAAGCTATAAATTAGTACCTTGTTCAGTTTTCACCAATAAAGACAGGTCCTTCTATGAAAGAGGAATTATGACGCTCACTGAAAGACAGCAAAAGGTTATCAAACAAAATGGGCAATATATCATGGATTGATCTTTGTTTATTATATTAATAAGTGATCTTTGAAAAACATAGCACAAATATGTCATAACTTGTTTTATTAAAAGAATTATTTTTTATTTAACTTTATTTATTTATTTATTTTAATTTGACCAGCGAGGGTCAGAGTGAGTGAGAGAGAGGGAAAGTAAGAAAGCAAGCCGCCAAGTCTGGATCTTGACTTGGCCACAAGGGAGTCCAACACTCTTACCCACCACACCACTTGCCAGCCCCTGTCATGACTCTTCTGACAACCCAATAGAGTAGAAGGATGGAAAAAAGGCTATAAAAACAAGGAAGAAATTTGTAAAAATAACATGAATCTGCCTAGATTGATTTTGTACTATATAGTTCATTGTTTCAAACTCTGCGTGTGTGTGTGTGTGTGTGTGTAGTTTTAATAATTCAGTGCCCTATACTGTTTGCCATAAAACAAATTGTCATTACTTTTTGTTTTAGACCAACTGGTGGAAGTGACAAGTGGACAGCAACAGCTTGTGAATGCCTCTCACTATACCTAACTGGAGCTGTAGCAACTATAATCTTACAGGTGGGCGGTGGGGTCAACAGCTACAATAGATAGGTACTGATCATCTCATAGATATTTTTGTAAATTCTAATTATTTTCTTTCTTGCTGAAAAAATAATAGCAAGCTATCTGATATTGTTGCAAACTTTGTTAGTCTTATTTCAAAATATAATGCCTGTTCAGTGATGAAGGTGCTACAAATGACTGTAAATTAATCAAAATTTGAAGTAATATTCTTGAATTGATAATTTGCATATTAAGAATATAGAAAGTGAGGGTCAGCAGATGGCATAGAAGTTATGTTGCTGGACTCCCACATATCCATACATGGTTCAAGTCTCAGACCCGGTGACTTGAAAATCCCACTGGGTACATGTGCTTGTGTGGTCAAGATATTGGGAAGAGAATGGAGGAGAAGGGATTGCAGAGTGGCTATCCCTCCTGGGAGTAATTTATCACTTTTGGTCTATTTGTGTCTCTCTCTCTGGTGAGCACACATGCCCTAAGGGTGGGTGGGACCTTTGTTTTTTTGGTAATATAGGATGTAGGCCAGCAGGTGGTATGGAAGAAAGTGCTGGGTCCCACATGACCAGCTTCATGGTTCAAGCCCTAGACCCAGAGGCTTAAAAATCACACTAGGCATGGTGCATGCAAGCCCAGAATTCTGAAGGACAGTGAGAAAGGATTGCGGCATGGCCATCCTTCCTGGGGGTGATTTCTCACTCTTGCCTTCCCTCAGAAATTAATATAATTATTATTATTATTTTAAATTTGCTTTAGGGCATGTGCACTCACAAAAGATAGAGAGGGAAAAGAGAAAGCAAGTTGCTGGGTCTGGGACTCAAACCATGGTTGGCCATATGAGAGTTCAGTGTCTCAACCACCATGCCATATGCTGGCCCCACTTTTAATATTCTTTTACTAAACTTCAAAGTTAGATTAGTGAAGTCATATTAACTATAGGCCATAAAATACATGGTTGTATGAGCATGGATTTGAGAAGAAGCATACATGGCCAACTGCACAGTTGGAGTCCTAGGCCCACTGACTTGAAAAACACACTGGGTACATGTGGATACTTGCCCAAAATTCTGAGAGAAGAATGGAGAAGAAAAGATTTCCCATAAGAAGCAAAATACATGTTTTCTAGTTCTTTGGTTTTGTGTGTGTGAGTGTGTTTTGCCAGAGGGTACGTGCACTTACCTGAGAGTGACAGAGAGAGAGAGAGAAAGCAAGCCCCCACCCCCCTGTAGGAAATGGTCATACTTCATTCCCTTCTCCATTTTTCTTTTCTCTCAGGATTTTGGGCATATACACACGTGTCCGGTGTTTCTCAAGCCACTGAGTCTGGGACTCAAACTGCGCTGACGGCCTTGTGAGATACATCTGCCTTAACCACCACACCAGGGGCTGGCCCTCTTATGCTTTTAACAGAAAAAATGCACACCTTAGAAAATATATCTTGATAGGTATTTAGGAGAATAGAAAAACTTGTTAACTGGTGTGTTTCCCTCCCATTCAAGGATCAAAAAAGTTTTCAGTTTGCTTTTTCAATAAAGTTTTACATTGGCAGCAAGGCCTTCCTGATATATTTCACAAAACAACTATCTGTCTCCTTTGATTCCTTTTCATGTTTTTTTTCTCTCTGATGTATTTAGGTATCCAAATCATATTACCTGTATTCAGTTGGGAAATTTATTTTTCTTACACAGAGAAATATAGAAGAAATGCTTATGAAAATTACATTATTTATAAGAAAATTTCTTTTTTGTGTGTCTTGTATTTACTCTATTCTTAAATCACTACAGGAAAATGATACAATGTGGCCATTACCTGTGAAAATTTTCTGCAGAGATGAAAAAGGAGAACGCGTTGATGTTTCTAAATATTTGATTAAAAGGGGTTTGGCTTTGAGAGAAAAGAGGTATATACTTTTTTTTTTAATATTTTTAAAAAGAGATTTATTATTATTTATGCATTCAGTTGCTACATAAGAGGTATATACTTTTTTTTGACATCAGTTTGTGATGTATGCTTCTTATTTCCTGTCTAAATCATCTTATTAGTGTGCTTTCAAATTCGAATTGCATCTATTGCATATTGTTTGCTTTTAAAGACAGTTTATAAACCAACCCCTAAGGAGCCAGCTCAGGAAAAAAAAAATCTCTTCAAAATTGCTCATTTCTTTATTCAGTCTCATCAGCTCTTGGGTGCTTATACCTATTTCTGGCATAATTTTATACTTTCCCCTTACCTTTTTCACACTCTAAAACAAAGACAAGGAGACCTATATAGTTGGTACTAGTAGAATCCTTTGTTTAGATAGAAGTGTTTTTAAGTTTTATGTTCAAAATTCTGGTAAATGTATACCAAAATCTATTTGTATGAAATAGGAATCAGTAGTAAAAAGCCATTGAACAATACTTACATTTTTCTTAGCACCTGTCAGGTACTGAGTTTGGGGGGTTAAGACCCTTTGATCTAGGGAGGAGAAAGATCTGGATATTGCTATGGTAATATCTTCCAGATATAGAGTTATGTTGGAATTACAGACACATGTTCCAAGGAGCCACTTCGTCATACACAGCCAGACCTCCTTCAGTGTGTTTGCCTCAGTTACTTCTTTACCTTGTTTGAACCAGGTCTCCATTCCTAATGAAATGAAAAGAGCTGGGGATTCAAAACTAAAATGGCCATGAGGTAGCTGGCTAGCTATGGTAGATGCTGACTGAGTTGCCTGGGCATTGACATACAACTAGGCTCCATATCTTTAATCCTACATGTGTCTTTTTTGGGGTCTGTTGCCTTTAGACTAAAGCAATTCCTTGATAAAAGAAATGTTGGAACTAGCAGATGGTGTAGTAGTTACATCACTGGACTCCCACATAGCCAGCCACAGTTCGAGTCCCAGATCCAGTGGCTTAAAAATCACACTGGGCACATGTGCATGTATGCCCAAGATTCCAGGAGGAGAAGAGAGGAGAGGGGATTGTGGTGTGGCATTTCCTCTCAGGGGTGATTTCTCACTTTCCCTCTCATTACATCTGTCTTTCTCTCTCTCTGGCCTCACCTAAGGCAAAAAAAAACTCTGAAAAAAAGAAACATTAAAATGAAAAATGCTAGGCAAGTTAATACTGCTGACATTATCTGATACCAATTATGATGTTCTTCACTACGTTTATGGCACAGAAACTACTTGCTAGCTTACAGAAGAGGAGAAGGGTTGGTTGAGGAAATAGGTAGCTATTTCATTAATGCTAATTTTCTTCCGTCCTTCCTTCCTTCCTCCTTCCCTCCCTCTTCTCCTTTCTTCCCCTCCCTCCCTCCCTCTCTCTCTCTCTCTCTCTCTCTCTCTCTCTCTCTCTTTCTGTCATAGGGCACATGCACTCACCAGAGAGAGGGAAAGTGAGAAATTACAACCCTGCAACCCATCCTCCAGTCTCCTCTTGGGATTTTGGGCATGCACATACACATACATGCCCAGCATGTTTTTCAGGCTGCTAGATACAGGACTTGAACCCATGGAGTTGACCATGTAGGATCCAGCACCTCAACCAGCATGTGACCTGATGGCCTACATATTTTCTTTTAAAAGAAAATTATAGGAAATCAGAAGAAACAAAAATACAATCCTGCTAAAACACAATTCCCTATAGGGTTGTTTTCTTCCTACAGTAGATATCTTTTTTCCCCCCATTGGAAGGGAATAACATGAAGTTTCTTTAAAATTGAGTACATATAGGATATTATCACTAACACCTAATATCTAAATAGTACCTTACTATTTTTAAGAGATTCATATTTTCTCTGTATTTCTTTATGAAAGTTAATAACTTGCCACATGTGTGGTATGTATGTGTGTGTGTGTGTGTGTATACACATTCTAACTATGGACTAAATTAGAATCAACTTGAAAGTATATTTTCCAATAAAATCTAGTTCATTGTACAATCTCATAATATAACTATAATGAGATTTTAGGAGAAGCATGAAAATATGAGATGGTGATTTAAAGCACTTAAGTGAAAATTATATTGCCTTATTCTCATCAACCTCATTTATAATTTAAAGTAATTTTCATTATAATGAAAATTATGCTCATTTTCATGTAACAAATTAGACTAGTATACCCTAACCTAGAGCAAATACTTTCTGTGAATTTCAGATGCGATTGAAGGCTTTTTTTTTTCTTTCAAGGAAGAAAAAGGGAAAATGAGATAGATAGGTATTTTGACAGGATCAAAATAACTCTGTTGTGATTCTCTTGCATCAGCCTACAGATTAGCTAGGAATACAGACATGTGAAGCCCCACCCAGCATATTTAGGAGAACCAAACCTGGGGTTCTCCTAGAGTTCCCAGCCTCCCAGGTAGTGGCGCTACCTGTGCACCACTACTGTTGAGTCTGTTTTTAATATTCCATAGAATTTTATATTTATTCACAGTTGGATTTTTTTGATATTACAGAATTAATAAATTAGATAACAGTAATTCATGTTCTCCTACAGTTCCCAGCCTCCCAGGCGCTACCTGTGCACCACTACTGTTGAGTCTGTTTTTAATATTCCATAGAATTTTATATTTATTCACAGTTGGATTTTTTTGATATTACAGAATTAATAAATTAGATAACAGTAATTCATTATCTGAGAAGTGTCTGGAAAACTCCCTGAAACAAGAAGACTCAGTAGTTACTAAGTGTATTACAAGTAACTTTGACCCCAACAAAAAACCTGCTGGCATAATCAGTGAAGACAAGGTATCTGAATTTAAGGAGAAAATTCTAGAACCAAGAACCACTGGGTGCTATAAACCACCAGCTATTCCTAACACGAAAGTATTTGAGGCAATAGTCAGCTGCATTGGTGACGATGGAACTATATTTGTAGTACCTAAATTATCAGGTAAGAATTTTTTTACTTTGTTTAGGATTAGTCAGTAAAAGTAGACCTAGAAGCTTTATTTCCCTATAAAGATAGGCATTTGGACAAGTAGTTAAGCTCTTTGAACCTCATTTTCACCAAGTTGTTAGAAGGATTAACCAAAGTGCTTTTAACAATGCTTAGCACATAAAAGCCAATGTTTTTTTGTTATTATTGTAACATAACAATTGTATGCTATAAATATGAGAGTTCTATTCTCAGTGAAAGAATTTAGAATTTCCATTTCTACTATTATGGGAGATTGAACATCTCTGTCTCGCTTTCTCTATATATATATTTTTTTTTTTCTGGTTGTCAGGGAAGTCATGATGTACTTTTCTATAGTTTTACATGCAAAAATACACCATGACTTTCCTGACAGCCCAATAATGGAGATATATAGAGAGATAAGTAGATATACATATCTCTTTCTTTATGTATAGAAACATGCATATTATTTGACATGTGCATGTACCTTCTGGCATACACACACACACACACATATATATGTATATATAGTGACATACATACAGATATATACATACAGATATATATATATATATCTTTACATATATATGTGTGAGTATGTGCACATGCCAGAGGGTTCATACACATATGAAAGAAAAAGAGAGTGAGAAGGCACTCCCCAACAGGGTTTGGTCACATTGCAGTCCTTTTTCCTCCAGTTCTCCATCCTCTCAGGATCCTGGGCTCAGACATATGCAGTTGGCAAGTAAGCCAGCAGGATCAAGACTTAAACCCTGGTCAGCCCTCTGGGAGCCAGCTTCCTCTGCACAGCATTTAACCACTACACTATGGAGTCAGTTATATTTTTTTTCTAATTATCATTTACTGAGTAGGCCTGAAAGTAAAGAATAAAGTGTGCTCCAAAACAAAGCAAAACCAGAACACGGATCAGTAAGCATGTGCCACAGAAGACATTCGCCTTGAGTTTCTTCAGAACCACGGGACTTGATTTGAACTCAGTATTCAAGAAAAAGGAAATAAGCCCGAGGCCCCTTCACTAAAAGTGGGAAGTCTAACAGGAACCCTCACATGAAGGTGGGATCCCCAAAGGATCATTCCCACAACACAGTGTCAGTGTGCTAATTACATTTAAAAATACTAAAAGTAGACACCCAAACAAATTTTAAGGTTATTATTTCATGAAAGTGAAAGACAAAGAACAGAACAAGCACCTTCAACAGGGTCCTATACCACGATTCTGTCCCCAAGCCTTCTCAGACAGTCATCATCATGGGTACGCACGCCCAGTATGTGCAGGTTGATCAGGAACTGCACTGGCTTTCTTCCATAATGGTCCAGCATCACTTCAGCAGCATGTTTCTACTGCCACTGAGACAGCCCTGGTTTGTAGTTCTTAATATATCCCAAAAGCTATCCGCTCTTGGTTTCATGAGCTGCACATATCTACTTTCAGTTTCTCACTTGTCTTTCCAATGTCTTTTTGAGATTTCTGGATGAGCAAACGGTCTTAATTTTAAAGTAATTTTATCAGTTTTCCTCTTTTGTTTTGCATCCCATTACTCCTGTCTATGAGATCAGATGAGATATTCTACTATATGATCTTATAAAAAATATTTAGTATTTTGTTTTTTACACTAAGTCTTAAGCCATCCTGGAATTCATTTTTGAGTAGAGATGGGGAAGTGATCCAATTGTTTTTTTCCACAGTTTTAACCAATTGTCCTAGCACATCTACTTTTTTTTTTTTAAGAGGTTCTTGCCTTAAGGCATGTGTGATTGCAGGAGACAGAGACTTAACACAGTGAGAAAGTGAGAAATCACCATACCCTGTAGGAGATGCCTATGCCACAATCCCTTCTCCATTCTCCTCCCAGGATCTTGGGCACACACCACTGGGTCCAGAACTTGAACCATGGCCAGCCATGTGGGAGTCCAATGATATAAAGTTATGCCATCTGCTGCCCCCCCTCATACTTAATATTTCACACTTTCTCCTGATCTATACTGCCACCCTTGGCAAAAATCAAGGTTTTACATAGGCATGAGGTGTTACTAAACTCTGTTTTATTGCTCTATTTTTCTATGACTGCACCAGTATTCTACTTTTTCCTTTAATCTAGCCTCTACACTATTTTATACTGTATGTACAATATAAAATTTATTTGTTATAAATTCCATAACACTTGAAAACCACTAGAACCAGTCTTCCCATGTTGGTCTTCTTTAAGTATACCTTGGTTCCTTAAATCATGTTTGTTCACCATAAACCTGTTGTTTCTGAGAGACACAGTGTACAAAGTTTGCAAGAGCAAAGAGCAGAGGGAAAGTCAGCTTAGAGATGAGGAAGAAAAACTTTTGAGAAGCACCCTGAACCCCAGTGGTTCTTTGTAAATGTAGATATAGACAGAAGAAACTTAAAAACCAATATACTTCTTTTTTTTTTTAACTTAATTTTTTCATTTATTTCTTCCATGAGAGGGAGACAGAGCGGCGATAACCCCAACAGAGTGGTCATGCCACGATTCTACTTCCAGCCTTAGGATCACTCAACCCCAACATGCACAGGGGAACTCAGGACAAAAACCCAGGACCTTTCCATATGACCTCAGTATCATGAAGCATTGCATTACTACTATGCCAACACAACTGGCCACCGTATACCTTTTTTTTTTTTTTAAGAGGTTTCTGCCACAGACTGTGTGTGCTCACAGAGAGAGAGGGAGAGACAGAGACAGTGAGAGGAAAAGTGAGAAATCACCCCACAGGGGGGATGACCACTCTGCAATCCCTTCTCCATTCTCTTCCTGGGATCTTGGGCACACACCCACAGGTGCCTGGTGTGAGTTTCAAGCCACCAGGTCTAAGACTCTAACCACAGTGGGCCATATGGGAGTCCAGTGACATAACCACTATGCCATCTGCTAGCCCCGCAATATACCTTTTTAGAGGTAAAAACTAGGAAAGAATACGGAACTCATACAAACATAGCCATAAATATGATAAAGAAGTATAGTCTGGCTGAAAGAACAGAAGCAATGAAATCTGATAAGAATAGCTATTTTCTGTCAAATAGGTGACAGAAAACCATTAAGTTTTTAGTTTCCTGGTATGTCAGGGCTACCACCCAAGATTTTTTTCTCCTTCCTCCATGGTTCCGATATTTTGGTACATCTATAAACTTTGAGATCCTTGAGAATATTTCTAGAGCTCAATTTTTTTTTCACACTACACAGTGACAGTGACTTAAAGACTTTAGGGCTTAAAGACTTCATCGGTGTTTATCTGAACATCCTAAGTACTTCTCCAGTATGAATGAGAAACAATGTGGGACTGACTTCAAGGGTTTCAGAGGCTACTAAAACAACTCTTAGATCAGTACTGGCACAAACTGACTTTTCTTCGACTCTCATGTCTCCCTTATTTTCCCCACATAGGTATTGAGATTAGGGTGGGAGTGGTTCCAGATTTATAAGACTTGACACTTATATATATTTTAGGCTCATTAGTGATTAAGGAGCCTGATTCCACATGGCTAGCCATGGTTCCTATCCTGTCCCTGGCAGCGAGAGAGGCACAGCAGGCATATGTGTGTGTTCGAAATCTTAAAAAGATGGAAAATGGAGAAGGGATTGCCTGTTGGGAATGCTTTTTCCCACTCCTCTCTCACTGTCTGATGAACACACCATCTATGTTCAAACATATACATACACATATACATATAAGTTTATATTTATTTAGGATGAGAAAAGAAATCATAACAAATGAGTGGAGATTCAGGTCTCTCTTAAAATATTAAGGTCCTTCCTGAGATTGCCCAGGCTTATACACAAATGCTTTCTGACTATAACCCATCTTTGTCTGGAATATTCCATATCTTCCAGCAGCTCTCTCGCACTCACAGGGCTTATGTGCCATTAACTAACCTCCTTAGCAAGTCTACTTATAGAAGAGGGTGTAGTAGCTATGAATTTACTAAAATTTTTCTGTCATGTATTGGTCTCCTAAATACTATTTTAAATTTGAAAAATGGAGTAAATCTGTATAACTGGCTCTTCTAGAAGTGAACAATGTTTGAGACCTATAATAATAGTACAGACAATCCCCAATGTACAGTGGTTTGACTTAGGATTTCTTAACTTTAGAATGATGTAAAAGTAATGCACATGCAGTAGAAACCTTACTTCAGGTACCCATAAAACCATTTTGTTTTCACTTTCAGTCTACTATTCAACAAAATTACATAAGATATTCAACACTTTATTATAAATAGGCTCAGTGTTAACTGATTTCACCCAAGTATAGGTTAACGTAAGTGTTTGAAGCACACTTAAGGTAGGGTAGACTAAGCCAAGATATTCAGTAGTTTAGATTCATAGTTTAGTTTATTATTTACAATTATCCCATTGTAAATCAAGTAGTAAATCAAATTAATCCAGAAGCTTTGACATGTGTAAGTAGTCATTGCTAAAACTGGTGACTGTTCTGTGCCAGGCTGTGTGCTTTACATCTAATCCTCCTGCAATGTTGACAATGTTTTGTAAAGTGCTGCTACACCCAGTTTGCAGAAGACTAAACTGAGGTTATAGAAGTCAAGGAGCAATTCTAGATCACATAGCTAAAGCAGTAGGACTGGGGTGGGGGCTGACTTCAGAGCTGGCCTTCTGTGGTCTCAGTTACAGGGGTATTCAAAAAGTTTATAGAACTTTTTCAAAAACTTCATGGAAATGCATATTATTATTAAAAATGTGTATTATGCATGGATTTCAAACATTTTCGCACCAGAATTGACTCATACTTTGATTCTGTTTTTCCACCAATCTTTGACCCTCAAATATGTACTGTAGAAATAATGGGTCACTTAAAATTGCCCAAAAATTTGAGAATAATATACGAGAAATACTAGATACCATCAAACGTCCAAACATCTGGATAATAGGCATCCCAGAAGGCAAAGAGACTCATAAGGGCATTGATAATCTATTCCATGAAATCCTGCAAGAATACTTTCCAAACCTAGAGAGGCACTCAAAGATTCAGTCCCAAGAAATACAAAGGACCCCAAATAGAATCAACCCAAGAAGATCTTCTCCAAGACACACTATAGCCAGATTGACCAAAACCACAAAGACAAAATACT